AAAGGTTTAAAAAAAAAAAAAAAAAAAAACAAAAAAAAAAAACGAAGATACAATTGAAAAACCACGTAAAAATCTAACCCAAGTACTAATTGTATTCATGAAAGTTACGATCTTGTAACTGAAAACATGTAAAAAGTGGAAGAAAAAAAAAAAAAAAGGTTTTACCTTGGGTACTTACAAGTTGCCGGCGCTCGACCACCTTCTCCGGCACGATCATCCGCTTATTAGCATACAATGAGCACAATCCATCAGCGCAATCGTCCCGATCGTCTGGAAAATCCAGCTCCGAAAAGTCATCGCCGTAACTTCCTATGGACATTATTCTTCCGTTTCCCCTCGTCGTGAACGCCAGAGAAGTCAACTGTGAAAAATTAACGTCAAACGCCATAAAAAAAGGGAAAAAATTCTCCAAACGATTACGCAATTTTGGAGCAAGTGATTGAACTCACGATGACAACGGCAAGCCTCATGAGTGATATTCTTTTGCGCGACGTCCTGGCGGGTCGAAGGAAAAAGACCGGATGGCTAAAACCCCCCGAGATTTCGGTCCTTTATATACTATTTCGCGCAAAGGATGGTTTTTCCGTAACGAGGAGGCCTCCCTCGCGAGACAATGAATCCATTAATGGACACGCGATACCCTTCCCACGTCAACGTCACCCGGTTATGCCTCTCGACACTCTCATTCGCGCGGTTACGGGATAAAAAAAAACCCAAGGACCAAAATTTTTTTTTTTTTTCATCATCAAAGCCAATCAATACAGGCATACAGCTGTACGGACGTGAGGCTGATGAAAACGTGAGCCACAACGTCAGATTTTTTTTTTCTTTTTTCCTATTCACAACCCATCAGTGGAGAATACACAACTCGATTTCCAAAAATAATTTTTCTTAACGGTAATTTGACGCTTGAAAAAAAAAAAATGCATTTCCCAGGAATTGATAAATGTATTAAAAAAAAAAAAAGGCCGTGATACAGGGCAGATAATATAATATGACGTTATATAGGCTGCCTGAGATTTTTTCCACCGCGGTGGCAGCTATTTTTGTCCCTCGTGTACATACACACGCGCGCATATCGGGGGTAGCGCTGATCATCGAACGGGGGTTGAGCGGAGTATACAACCTGTACGTACACGGTAAAGGACAAAAGAATGGCCCCCTCGACATACACGATGGTTGTTGCGTTTTAGCGTTTCCCACCCCCCGTATATATATACACACATGTATTGTATATACGCACAAGCGCGCGTCCATTAATTTTGATTTAATTCAATGTTCCTATAATACGCGCGCGCGCGTGTGTGACTGCCCATACGTACGTATCAAAGGATATGTATCTCAAATACATGTGTACGTGTAGGGTGTACAGCCAAGGCAAAATACCTATACGTATAAGTATACACACGCATATATATGCTATTGCGACGCATTATAATTCGCATCGCCTGTACGCACGCCCCATATATTTCATTAAACTTGCGCCGACCTTGTCGCCGATTACCCGTACCCGCGTTTAATTGTCACCGAAATAGGTGTTTTCTATACATGTACATATATAGAACCCTATACACTCGCTTTTGAGCAATAACCAATGCAAGTTACCGTAGCCGTCGTCGTCGTTGTTGTAACAGTTTTTGCTCTCGTATTTTTATTACAACCAACAACGGTGTTTTTCTTTCAATCATATATATATATAAAACAATGAAAGTTATTGCACAATATTTTCCGATGACCGTATACATATATAATTTGTGCACAGCCCAAGCTTCTCCTCTCTTTTGTCTCTCCCCAGTTTAACTCAATCAGGCGGTACCACGAATAAATCACGCTATGGAAAACATAAACAAAACATTGCCAAAGAAGAACTTATAATTTTATGTGGTGCAACGGCATACATTTTTTTAAACAATAGCTGAGCTGTGCGACGCGCGCGTTACATCCGGAACAGGGTATTCTACATTTGTACCGCGCGGGTGCTCTTTTATTTTTTTTGGATATTGTTATGGAAAACATATAATAGGTGATGTATACACACACGTATGTAACTTTCCATCGCAACGGCTTAAAAGTTTGTATTTTTTGGAATAAGTTCAGTCAGTGGTTGCGTTGAATCGGCCAATTAGCTGCAGGTGCGCGGCCGATTGAACAGCTTGGCTTGAATGAAAGAGGGGGGGGGGGGGCAAAAAGTGTACCATCCCGCGCTTTTCCACTCAGCTTATCTGTACAATTTATGGTATAAAATCTTTTAAGTATATAATATGAACGTTGAAGAGGATGATGTGGAAAATGATGGTAGGTACCTATATAAAACGAAGGTGTGCGCGCGCCGTACACATAATGCGGCTCGCGCGCGGTCACCTATATATATCACGAGGTAACCGAGAGGCTCGTCACAACTTTGTCAGCTCGCTAGCCGGCTCATTGCTCTTGAATTTTTTGACTTTCAAGCTCCTCCGACGCGGATAACCCCCGTGCATAACTTTAACTCACGTCGCAGGTTTGGGACGATGGAAAAACGATCGGTTACGGTCGCGCTGCTCTTCGGCCTCGTTTGCGCGACTTTGCTGGACGACGCGCTTACTTCCCCGGTCCAGGTGAGTACTCGCTTCTATTTTACATCCAAGTTTGGGTACATACACCCCTTCTATCATGTATATTTTTTTTTTTTTTTTTTTTTTTTCACAACGTTCGCTCAGCCCTGCGTTTACTCTGTTTAAATTAATCAAAGTGTGGATGCAAACCGACAAAATGTCAGAAGAAAAAAAAAAGAAAATTTTTTTTAAGGAAAACTAGACGAAAGCGTGAGGTTCGCGGTGATCAGAGACTTGATTCGAGAAAACAGAGATTATATCAGGGGGCACACGACGAGTCGCACGCGTTTGCGTATCGGATATATAAATTAGTTTTTCCTTTTTTTTTTTTTTTCTTTTCTTTTCTTTCTTCCTATCGATGTTCTTTGCGTATATTCGCGAGCATCGATTTCCACGCGTCACCGCGACTCAAGGAATTTCATTATTATTACCATTATTTTGGCCAACTTTTCTCATGCATACCATAAAAACGAATCAACATTTTTCTTTTTGATCAGTTCAAGTTTTATCACCGCCTCTCTCTCGCTCGAACGAATTTTCACGCCATCGGGTGTACACAACTTATTGCATTTTTATCACCCTCTTAAGGATTACGTGGGGGAGTTGCTTTATTTTATATTATGCGCCCCGACGAACTTTCCGAGGGCTTTTCATGAATTAATATTCCAACAATGTATCGGTTAACGCGTAAAAAACCATCCCAACGATAAAATTTTATATGCATGAGGACGTTAAAGCAGAGTTTAGCTGACGAAGGTGTAATGAGCTTTTCATTTTCATTTTTTTTTTTTCACCCCGAATGTTATATAGTATACACTTTTGTTGCTATTTTTTCATAAAAAAGATGTGTGTAGGATATTATGAAAAAAAAAAAAAAAATTATTTTACGATTTTCAGCCACAAGAAGAAAACATTGTATTGAATTCCAAGTTTTTCTCAAAGTCACCGGAATATGTCGAGGCTCTCGCAAAGGAGTTGGAAAAAGAGAGTGAGTACTTTCGATTATGTTTTTTTTTTTTTTATATGGATAAAGGAAATTTGATATACATAACGAAATGATTTTTGCTATCGACGGGGGTTTTCCCTGAAAATTTTCATTTGTTTAAAAGTAACAACAACCGATGACTAGTCCCCTTACAGATCACGAGTGTTGTACATTTTTTCAGATCAGGGCTCAGATTATGGATATTTTCAACTTCTCTATATTTTTCCTGTTTTTTAAGGCGTCGGTGGAACTTTCAATCTTTTTTTGCTTGTTTCGTTTCCTTCTTTTCATTTTCATCCTGTACCTGTACGTTTTACTTCGATTTTTTTTCATTGATATCTCTTTTTTTAGTCACTACCTTGGTTTTGTAAACTAAAAAAATTATTTTTCTGCTCCTTCCTAATATCAGGCAAGTGTAAGATTAAAATCGATGTGCCTGAAAGATATGCCTCGTTTTATGGGACTTTTAATTTAAATATTTATGGAATCAGCCATACAATTTTTTCCGTGATCTTGTATCTCCGCACGTTCTTATTATTTTCCCCTAAATGTAGGAAAAAAAACTCGAAATAAACTAAAAATTCTAAATGAAATTATCACTGAAACCCGTAGGCGTTTAGAATTTTTTCCTTGATAGGAATAAAACAAAAATCATTTACCAAAACTTATCAAGAATTCGTTCCTCTACTTTGCAGAGGAAAGATTTATTTATAAAAAATACATTTATTATTTTACTGTTTCGCATTGATGCTATAACTTTCAATGAAATTATAATATGTTGGAAGCTGATAATTTATGCAATCACTGAAATTTTTTAATGTAACAGTAAGTAATATGATTTGATAATTTGAACAATTTCTCATCATGAGATTTAATGTCTTGAAAGACATCACATGATAAATGAAAAATGTTAATTTAAGAGTTTTAATTAACGTAGTAATGCAAAGTTAGCGTTACCAAAATTTCTAAAACACCGTAACCGATTAAATAACTTATCCAACGAACGAAGCGTGTAATTATAGAATGTCTGATAGTCGCCGTAAGGCTGTGTAAACATATTTGAAAAAATATGGTGAATAGACATTGTGTGCTTGTCGTTATGTCAAATGGTTTGCGAAATCGTTCTATTCCTCAGCACGTGCTGTTCGTGTACAGCTTTTTAGGAACGTCACTGAACTCTACTTCTATTGTTTCCCTGTCCTATTCTCTTTTGACTGTCTTAGCCTTCGTTTGTACAAGAAATTCCATATTACAATAACAGTCAGGAGTTTTCTAAAGTAAGAGAAAATGTTTTTTTTCTGAGGCACACCTTTGGAACAAAGATTTTTCCACGCCGTACGTGACCCCTAGCTATACGGAAATTTTCGGAATTTCGGAACAAATAAACGAAGAATGATGATCTTTTTTCAGGTTTTTTTTTGAGTTTTTCAAAGAAGCTACTTTTCACCGTTTAGTGTAAAAAGTAAACGTTCCCTTAAATTAATGTACAAAATACACAGTTTTTGAGTGAAAAATCACAAACTAGTAATTTTTTCAAAGAACTTTACTACTTAAAAATTAAAAAACCATAACTTTATTCTAAAATATGAAAGTATTTTTTCCGAGATTAGCGTTGATAAAAAATAACTAAAAAAGGCTGGAAAAAGTAGGCCCTGTCTCACTTGTATCGTGTTATTAAAATAATATTATAATTTTGTTAAAAAAAAA